ACATAGTGTAGTGAACGTACATTGACAGTGACGTGTTGCCCTGAGCAATTACTTTGCGTTTAGCGTTCCCCTCAATACTGGACCAAATCCTAAACCTTTGTCCCAAATAGTCTCTCAGACGTAAAACCTGGGACAATATGGTCCAGGTTGAAAAACACTTAATGCTTCTGTGTGTATATGTGTGTGTATATGTGTGTGTGTGTGTGTGTGTGTGTGTGTGTGTGTGTGTGTTGCAGAGTTCAAGGAGTGCTTCTCTCTGTACGACTGCCAGCAGAAGGGGAAGATTGAAGCCAGGGAGCTGATCACGGTGATGCGATGCCTCGGGTCAAACCCGACCCCGTCCGAGGTCCAGAGACACCTGCTGAGTCACACCACAGGTACACCTGAGTCCGTCTCACCTGTCTGAGTGTGCACAGTCCTATTTCTTTCACAGTTGTTTGATCTGATGATTCGACCACAGCTTTAGAAGTTCTCTGATAACTGGTGCCGTCAACACGGTGAAATTCTTGCTGCCTGAGAGAAAAGTCGACACTGCAAACACAATGTGTTGAAATCTTTGGCTGTCAGTCAAAAGCCGGTCCTCTTGTGACGGTAAAGAAACAGCTGGTGGTTGACAGAAAGTTGTTTTGTGTCTCTTTGTAGTCATTTTGTCACCAGCTTATTTAACTGCATTCTGTTTTACTTCTTCACTGTTTGAACAGCTTACTTCATGTTCACTGAGTGACGGTGACTTCTCATCCTCTGCAGCGTCCTCATTTCTCCTGCACGGATCAACAGAGTCTCTCCCTGACGTTATAGATGACCCGCCCAGTAAAAGTAGATACATGTGTTCCTGCAGATGTGGGCGGAGAGCTGGACTTCTCCACCTTCCTGAATGTCATGTACCGGCAGCTCCAGCAGGAGGCGCCGGAGGAGGAGATCCTGGAGGCCATGAGGATGGCCGACAAGGAGCAGAAAGGCTTCATCCTCGCCTCCGAGCTGAGAGCCAAACTCACGGGGCTTGGAGAGAAGCTGACGGAGTGGGAGGGTGAGAGCGGTGCAATCACACACACGTTCTTATCTTTGTATGAATGTTCAATTTCATTTGAATCCTCTTCATGTGTGTCGCCCCCTCAGACAGCCACAAAGGTTCAGAGGCTTTGCATTCAAGTCTGCTGTCAAAACACTGGAGGAGTATAATGAATGCAGATTATTTTAAGTCTTTTATTGAGAGGGAAGAAGGAAGATAACTAAAGCTACATTTAATGAGATTAATGAAGTCTCAGTTCATTCACAGTCATTGCAGAAAACATGAATTCTTAAAACAAATCTCTTTTACAGTTCAACGATGATAAAAGTTCAACTGTGCAACAAACCCACGACGTGTCAACGTGCAGTTTGTGAAACGTCAAGTTGTTGCATTAAAAAGATAACAAAGGGATCTATCAATCCACATTTATTTTTCATAACACAACGCGTTTTATATCTTATAAAATAAAGTAACATAATTAATGCTGCGTTCACGTCATGATACGTTTATGATAAAGAGAATAATAAATGTTAGAGGCATCATTATAACATTTCATTTCTACAGTCTGCCTTCAATTCACCATCTGAGTCTCCAGAATGTTCTCACGGGTCAGCGCTTCCGTTCAGGTGACCACATTCTCCCGTCAGCTTTGTTTTCATAGATCACAACGTCTGCGTAGGAAGTAGCGCTACGCCTCTTTCACGTATGCAACGGTTCTAAATGTTTAGGAGATGACACACCTTGATTGACAGCCGTCTCTCTGTTGTCAGTGGACGAGCTGCTGAAGGAGGCGGGCGTTGGTGCTGGTGGGCGGGTCCACTGTGAGCAGTTCGCTAAAGCGGTGACTCGCTCCTCTGCAAAGCGTTGACGTCTGAAACGTCATCATCATCATTATCATCATCAAAGTCAAACTAAAACTACAACTCCCATGAATCAATCTGAGAGCCTTTCGTCTTGTAAAAGTCAAACGTGTTGTTTGAAATAAATCTCTGACTTGTTTCTTTCTGTATTCTTAGCTGTTAGCTTTAGCATCAGTCGTATAGCGCGATCCTTCAAACTACTGGATTTATTCAAGTTTATCACCAAAACTACATTTTACAGATGACATGTGGACACATCATGATAACGTTATAATTTACCTTCAGCCAGTACTCATGTTCACTGAGCAGAGCCTGAAGGCATCATAGTGTAACTGAAGTGAACCTCTGTTGGTTAGCCGTTAGCGGTACTGCTAACGTTACTAGCTCTCCTCTGATTGGTTGTTTACAATGAAACATGATCAGAGATCAGAGACTAGAAACACATGTTCTACTGAGTCAGTACAACTTTATTTACACTGTGATGGTTAACGTTAAACTTTATTTACACTG